TTGCCTGGCGCGCCATAGGTGTCAATCTCGTCCAAATGGAAGAGCGAGGGAAGGAAAAGCCCTGGAGACGAGGTTGTAGAGACCAAGTCAATCTTGCGGATCGATTAGTTCTGGTGTAAAAAATACAGTTGTCAGAACCATAGGCCAACGTCGCCAACTGTTTACAAAAAAACGTTGGCTCAGCTAGAAGGTTGATCCGCCTAGCCGGGTCACTCTTTTGTGGTGGTAGGGTCGCACCTCAGTAGCCTGCGAACGGCAGACGTTTCTCCTCGCTCATCGCCGCTGAGGAACGTTTCGCGAGGAGGAACAATTTTGCATTTGGAACCCCATGACTATGTAAACATTGATTTACATCATCAGTATGGAATTTCTGTCGCTGAGTCGGAGACGTTCCTCCTCGCGAAACATCCCTCAGCGGCGATGAGCGAGGAGAAACGTCTGTCGCTCGCAGGCTAGGTCGCACCCTCCTAGCCGGGCCAACTTTTGTACGGGTCACTGAACTCGGTCAAAGCGAGAAAATCACAGCATGAGCGACCGCTGTTGACTAGGGCAAAGGGGTCAACTTTTTCTCAGTTATCTCTCGCTAAAGTTGGCTCGGCTTGGGGGTGACCCCTCTACCCTGACCCAGACAAAAGGAGTCTAACCAAAGAGTATAGAAATAAAGAGATTACGTATTGAAGGTTAGAAGACATATTGCAAAATAAACGTCATATCTAGGGCGGCAGCACACGTGTGTAGTGAGAACTATTGCTAGTTTTACTTCCCAGCTACCGGGCATATAACCACCGCGTTTATAAAAAGTCCAGCGACAATTCTTTAGAAGACTGTGGCGAGAACGTATAACGTATTTTTAAAACCCATTTCCCTGAATACTCAAGAAAGGAACCCGTGAAAAATTAGAGTGGGATCGATGTACGTAACAAAGGGCGGGATAAGAGGGAAAAATAGGTGGCAGAGCCGGATTACAGAACCCCATCAGGGACCCAATGACTTTACAATCTGCTCGGGTTGGTTTCGTAAAGGTGGATTTGATTGACACGCAAATTTAAGGCGCCTAAATATAATAGAGGCAATGAAAGGAAAATCGTGCGTATACGTAAACGTTGAACACGTTTACGGCGGCCATTCATGCAATGCCTCTGTCCGTTATTTACGCGCGTAAATTTCAGGCGCGTAAGCACGTTAAAAGTACGTGACAGTGGAATTCCACCCTAACAAAGACGAGTTCTGTGAAGTTCATTAACCATGATGACAATTTTCCCAGACTTTATCCTTCTTTGAAAAACAAAAGTTTCTCTCAGCTCTCTTATTTGCGAATGGACTTGCTGCCTACTGAACTTTTCCCGTTCACTTTTATTAAGAGCACGTATAACCCGTTTCTTAAATGCTAATAAAAGTCGCTACTGAAAAGTGTCTCTTAGCCCTAATCTCTAAACAAAATGCTACATTAGATCCAGGGGAATCTGTGTGGATGGGTAATTTATCGATGGAGTAGTGACCTGTACTCTTGAGCTGCTTAGAAATTCTGCTAATCCTCCCATGACACCAATACTAACCATTATTGGTAATTAGGAGGTTCTCGAGGGCCTTTTCACTTTATTAAAAAAGGGTTCTTTTTTTGCTCCATTGTTCTGGTGAATTTCATGTTCAAGTCTGCATCGTCGAAACCAAAAAGAACACAGGAGAGATCATGATTAAATTCTTCTTTCTTTATTAGTTTTTATCAATTAAGTCTCTTGCTCACTATATTTTGCATAAACCCTTTTCAGGTACAGAGACAGCGTATTGTTCACATACAAGACGGTGTCTTTTCACGCACATGAGGTCTTTGATGCGTATTCATCATACCTGTAATGAGTTGGATGGGAAATAAAATGTGTCGGAAAAATGTTCGCCTGTTTTTTGTCTGCAGATAATTGAATTATTTAACAAGGAGCCTGCAATCAAGCTCTTAAAATATCAGAGAAATCAGTCGGGTACTGTCTAGCCATTTGCAGGGCTAAGGCTTGGCCTTGCAAATATAAATTTATAGACATTCCCGTGACTGGGATGACCACGAAAAATGGGGGTCAACTATCTAGTCTCTAGTCGCGCTTAAGGCCTGGGTATCCCATCACTGATAATTTAGGGCTAGCCTGCGAACGGCAGACGTTTCGCGAGGAGTTCTTCCTCGCGAAAAGTCCCTCAGCGGCGATGAGCGAGGAGAAACGTCTGCCGTTCGCAGGCTAATTAAAGGCTAATCATGACCAAGAAATCTTCCAATTTTATTACTCGGGCGATTCCATGGGAACGACCCGACTATAAAATGGGAACGGTTTTTTTTTCGTCTGCCTCAAATCGCCCTCTGGCGACTTCAGCGCGTACTCAAAATATAAGAGTATGCGTAAAATAGGTCAGCATTCTAAACCAGATAACACACAGCACATGGCTGCCTGAGACACAGTGAGCAAAGGCATCTGCATTCGGTCTACAGTAAAGATGGCGAACAAACGCTTCAGTTCAGTCAGACACTGACTAACTCATCTGGGAGAGGGCTATAACGACTTGTTTTCGCCGCACTATTTACTTTTTTTGACGTTTGCGGGAAATCTGGTACGTCGTAATTGTGAAAAGACGATCTTAGAGGTTAAATTGACGATCGCATTGCCATTCCCGCCGATCAAAGTCGTGTGATGACGGCAGCGAAATCTGCTGGACGTTTAAAGTTTTGTTTTTCTCATTTAATTTGTTGGTTTTTTGTTGTTTTCTCCTCTTCTGTCGTTGTTGTGGTTGCTCGATCTCGCTAGTAGCATTACCCACCAAACATCTCTTGCCACCAGATTTCGTTAGAAAAAACGACGTCCTAGTTGAGGGAAACGCGCGACGAAAACGACGTCCGCAGATACCCACAAAGGGGCAGCTTTAAAATCCTGAATCCCGAGGTTTAAATCAGGGAAATCCTGGGTCTCGAAAAACCTATATTATAGTGGGTAGGCTCAAAAGGTATACAAGGTTTTTGTCCACTAAAAAATAAAATTACACAATTTCCTGATGGATTCCGTCTTAATTGTTTGAGTTTTCATAGTTGTCATGAACGGTTTCTTCTTCTTCTCAAGAACCAGAACCTTGAGCAATTTTTGCGTTGCTCGTTCGAGTCTCAGTCTCCACGTCATCGAAAAGTCCAAGCCACTTTTCCCAGGGGAACCTTTGCCCGATAACAAAAAGAGCAAAGGATCTTCTTTAAGTTTTTTTTCCATTATTCTCAAGAATCTCATCATCCTTTCTTGTCGATTCTGCATAATCCCTTGTCAGAAACAGCGATAGCCAAGCATGTCTTTCACATAACATTTAGTTTCTTCTCCACGGGACTGAGGTTTGTTTGGTGTGTGCTTGGGTAAGCTGCAATGTTATTTAAGTGTTACGTTAGCATTATTTTGTTAACAGAGCTTTGTTGTTGTTCGTATCTTTTATATAGTATAGTATTCCACTATGAAGACTGTTGTCAACATTTTCATCGTCGCAATCATGATAGTAACTCTAACGTCAAGTTCATCTATTAAAAAAGGTTTGTTCATAATGGGTCATTATGCCATCCTATAAGACACAGTACATGTATCTACTTAGCAAAGAACCCCGGCTTATAAGCATCCACTACACTAAAAAGGTGGTCCTAACTTTTGGAGCAGTCTCACTATAGCTCTCGTAGGTGAAATCCTAAAATGCCCAATTCAAATGAAGGCAGCCAAGCATAACTCTTCTTTGGTTTTGTTTAGTATGTGACTTATTCAATACCTTACAGTCAGTGCGGAAAATCCAGTGAGTTTGACAATTCAAAATAACCTACTAAACAGAAAAGTAGTTTCCTGTGGTACTGTTTATTACTAGCTGTACAATGGGTTCTAACCTTAGAGTCAGTGGATGAAATCCTGACTCTCCCGGCAATTAATTCAAAATGATCGATTGTACCCTTATAATAGCAATGACAGCTTAGAATGCTTTCATTAGGAAAAAATCTGCAACCCGTCCACTTTGGATTTCGCGACAAAACTCGTCCCATGAAAGATTATCTTCGTTTTTTAAACAGATCAACAGTTCTCCGAAATAAAGACTTTAAAATGCAAACCAAAACGTCTTGCAGGGATCTTGTCCAGTGGCAAAATCCCAGTGTGTAATTACCCCAGGGAATTACCTATTACCAAAAGGGCTTGCTCTTAGTTCAGTTAGTTTGCATCCACTGCCGAACAAAGCAAGCCACAAAATACCACTATACTATGATATGGGAAAGCCTGAGCGACCAGACCACGAGGGAATATGAGAAATTTTATCAAAGAGATTCCAAAAACCAAGAGAACATAAAAGGTCCTTTTCTGTTCCTTTGCTCAAACTCAGTTACGAAGCACAATTCTTTTGTCATCAAACGACAACTTAAAGATAAACGCTTGTGAGGTTTTATACCATTCCATGGCACATGACAACCGTG